TTTGCCAACATCAGCTGCTATGACGGCAGGTGCATCAGGAAGTGGTGGTGGACCTGGTGGTAGCAGTTTTGCTGGTGCAGGAGGTGGACCACATTTTCGAGAGCAACGACGAAAACGTGTTACGGGCTTTGCTACACTTAAACGAAAATTTATACGTCGTAGACGTTCATCAAAAGCCTGTGATCATGCGCGTGTATTGCGTGATTTTGTATCTGACTGGACGCCTTTAGAGTTAGCGGCGCTCTGTGAAGAATATGAAGCTTTAGCTGCATTAAGAGATCTATCGGTGAGTAGTTAAATATATATATCAAGTATTTTGATTATGTACTTAATTTAATATTAAAATAAAATTAACAATTTCTTACAATTTAGATGCAAGCGGAATTAGCTCGACCTCCTGCCACAACCTATAAACAGGACCTAGCTGCGTTATATGATATGAAGACATGTACGGATTGCGATTTAGTCTTCCGTGGTTCAATTTTTCCTGTACACCGCTCAATACTCTCCTCACGTTGTGCTTACTTTCGTGAATTACTAGCTGGCTGTCCTGGTTTCGGTGCACGCATATGTCTCGAACTGCCATCATCACCAATGATTGATGTGCAAATGTTTTCATCGCTATTGCGTTACTTGTATACTGGTGATTTGTGTCCACATGATCCTACAATTGATGTTAGTCTTTTGCGTCAACTAGGCGATGACTTCGGCACACCGAATCCATTAGAACATGACTTACGTTATTTACTGGAAACTGGCGATTATGCAGATGCTGCACTCGTTTTTACAGCCGAAGGAAATGATTATCATAGACCAGATTCGGGTAGTTCTGAATATGGATTTCGGCCAAAACTGGAGCTGCCATGTCATAAAGCCATATTAAGTGCACGATCGCCATTCTTTAGAAATCTCATTGCTAGACGTACCAGAAATGTTGATGAATATACGGAACGAGCATTACATGTGCCAACACGCATAGTGCTAGACGAAACAGTTATACCGAAACGATATGCGCGAGTATTACTACACGCAATCTACTTAGATACAGTAGATTTGTCGCTAATACTCCGTGGTGCTGGTTCGGGCAATTCAGCAGGTTCTCTAGGAGAGGTACATGCACTGACAAATACAGGACGTGTGAGACCTACACCACTGGAAGAGGCTATGGAACTTTATCAAATAGGTAGATTCTTGGAATTAGATATTTTAGCACAAGGTTGCGAAGATTTAATACTTGAGTGGTTGTCGCTGGAAACATTACCGACGGTGCTAAAATGGGGATCTCAGGTAATTTATTTATTTTTTTTTTTCGATATGCCTTAAACTAATAAGTACATACTTTTAGGCTCATGGTTCTGCATGGGTATTTCGCCAAGCATGCCAATACTTACGTGAAGAGTTTTCTGCGATTATTTCATCTCCAGTATTACATCAGTTGGACAAAACTCAATTAATACACGTTTTACAAAGTAATTTTCTGCAAGCTTCTGAATTGGAGGTATTACAGGCTGTATTAAAATGGGGTGAACAAGAATTAATACGACGGATGGAAGATCGTGAGCCAAATATACTTTCACACACGGCGCATTCTGTTGCACGAAAAGGAGTAAAAAAGCGTGATTTAAGTGATGTGGAACTACGTGAAATACTTTCTGAGTTATTGCCGTTAGTACGTATGGATCATGTTCTTCCGCCCAATAGTGAAGTACTCGGTCAAGCTATACGTCGTGGTTTAGTCAGCACGCCTCCTTCTCATATGATTGGTGATGAACGTGAAAACCTACGTGTAAATGCATGGATTCGTGGTGGAAAGAATCAAGGTCTCTTTGTGCGGCCCCGATTGTTCATGCCATACTTCGAAGAAGTTAAAGCATTACTTGAGGATCGTATGGCTTCATCGCACCATCAGGTTGAACTTATGCGCATGCGGCGGTCACGTCATTTGCCTGATATTCCGGACACGTTATATATGGTATCACGTATGAATGCCGCTGCAAATAGTGGTATGGGTGCAAATGTAGGTTGCAGTGGTGCAGACAATGTTGATATGCTTGCAGCGGCAGCGGCAATACCACCACCAGATACACAAACATTAGCTTCAATGCTAAAGCGGGAACATAAACTGCGTCAAACACCAATGTGCCAGCGTGCATTGCATTTACCACTCTCTTCAAAACACGAAATTGATCGACAAATACGCTTACGAGTAGTACGAGAATTTAACTTGCCGGATGCAGTATCTGATTTATTAGAGACATCACTATTACGAAACCAAAGTGGTGCTTCAGATGATGGTGGTGTTACATCTACTACACAAACGGACGATTGTTTATTAGAAGATGAAGATCAGACTCCACCACCATCACCAGCAGCTACTAGTTCCGTACCACGTCACACTACAGCAAGCTCGTTTCTTTCGGCGTCTGTGGGTTCATCAGCTGCATCGTCTACGTGTGGTGGTGACAATGTACCAGCATGCTATAGTCGTAATTTAACTTTCCCGCGACAACATCCCGGTGGTTTACTAGGCATGAGCATTGGTAGCGGTAGCAGCAGTGGTTTGCAAACTAATTACGCTAGACTTTCTGCCTCAGCACATCACCACCGTAGTGACTTACCTGCGCTTATAACTGAAGGAGATTATCGTTTTCCTCACGGTAGCACACTTGATGTAGGTGCTGAAGGTGGTGCAGTAGGATGTGTAGATAACAGTAATGGCGGCCATTTGTCCGACATGATGCCTGATGTAGCAATGGCTACAGCATCTCTTGGACAATTACATTTAGCAAATAGTGCCAACAATGGTAGCAGTGGTGATATGCCAGAGAGTCTGCAGTTGGACTTAGGTGATGGACCTAGTCACATAATGGGCGGAGGAGCAGGCGCTGCAGGACCAATTAGTATACGTGGGTTGCAGGTACGTTTATAATAAAGAAATTAAATATTTAATGTTTAATAATGTTTATATATATTTAGCATCAATTGCCGCCCACAAATTATCATCATTTTATGCAGCGTTCAAATTCGCCATTCGATGTTCTACGACAAGGGCAACATTCACCTGCACCACACCCACCATCTGGGACGTACAATTCCGGACCACCCAGATTTTTATAGAGTTTGCGTGTGGCCCCCGATGAGGGCCTTTATTTTAGCATGCCTTTTTGAATAAAATTGCTCCCACATTCGATGACAAAGTAAACCCTAGAAAATTATAGAAACTAAACCGTTTTGAAAATTTTTTCGCACTCAAAATTAAAAGCTAAAATAAGGCGCGTGCCCACTAAATATCAATCGTAAATAGAAATATATAAAAACAGTTTAACAGAACGAAAAAAAAAAAATGTTTTAGAACCTGCACAAACAATTATAAATAATTAATCTATAAGATAATTTTAACAAGTTGAATTAATTTTATCCCACATAAAATTTTATGAAATTACTACAACCAGAACAAAAGCGTTTATAGCAAAAGATATATAAATATATGCATATATATAATAATTTATTATGTATTTATTTACAATATGCATAAACAATATGTTCAAATTTAAAATAAAAATTTTAGCAAAATATTTATATTCAAAAGCCAATTTTTAAAGCGACTATCCAAATCTAGTAAAACAATTTTAATTAATGTATTTAATATTAATTTATTTATATGTTTGTTTATATTTTGTAGTTATAAAGATTATAAAATATATTACACAAAATTTAATTGTAGCTATGATCTCTTTAAATAAATCTCTTCATCAATTCAATACTTATTGGGTCTGAAACAATGCAGCTCAAGCTTATTTCATTATCTTCATATTCTTTCTAGAAAATTATACAATAATCTTATTTTGTTTATAAAAGGAAAAGCAAAACAAAAACATAATTGTACAAATCTCAATTTAGCTTTTATGATACGTTAATAATAAATAACACTATAAAATAAAGTGTCTATAAGTAATCGCAATTCATGTTACATATTTTGGTCAAAGTTTTATTATTAATAAATTATTTTATAAATGAATTTTATGCATTATTCTAACTTAAGTTTCATATTGAAAACGAATTTTTATTTATAAATTTTTAAATTGCATAAAAAACATAAATGTAAACAATCAAAAGTTATTAAAAATTAACTGCCGTACTAAAATTAACACATAATAAAATGACTAAATATTATCATATGGATTAAAATAAATAAAAATTTAAATTTAATTTATTTATTGTTATTGTTTGCAAATAATTGAAGTGCTATTTTATAAGTAAAAAAACAAAAATTCATGCATACTTAAAACTTTTTTAAATTAATTTAGCTAAATGTAATATATAAACGTATATAAAAGCTCATTATTATTTTTCTATATAAAATATAGATATTTTCGAGATATTTTTATTCCATATCATTAAATTAAAAAAAAAATCATCATTTATTTGTACTCATTACATATATAATATAAAGCAAAGCATAAATCTTTGTAAAATAAATATAACTATTATTATAAAATCTTAATTTAATAAATAAATTATATAAAAAACCAATTAAAGCATATTAATTTTTAAAATATTGTAATTTATTAAAAAAAAAATAAAACAAAAAAAAACAAAAAACAAAATCGTGTGTTAAAATGTTTATAAACATAATCGATATAAAATAAAAGTTAAGCATATATTAAAATATTTATAAATATTTATGAATACAGCTATAAATTTATTAATTAAGAAAATGATAATTAACGAATACATAATTTGAATATAATAAAAATTATAAAGCTATAATATATATTTAAAAAATATTAAATAAAAAATAATATAAATAACTATGATAAATCGTTTCAAAATGTTGTATTTAAATAAATATAAATAAAATGAAAATGATAAATATTCAAAAAAAAATTTAATATCTATTAATTTATGTAATGGCATATTAATATTATTTATCTTGCAAAGTATATTATTTATTTTGGAAAGTATACAGCAAATAATTATTGTTATATTTTGCTCACGAAATGGCAAAAGACTGGACAATATGCCACGTAAATCCCGCTATAAAGTTAAGAAATATCCGCTTAGGTCAGTTATTCTCAGATATAGCAGGTGCCTTTTTAATACCCAATCCATATTGGACACACCACTTAAGTAACCAAAATGTAGATTAATGACGTAGCGGAACGCGACGTACAGTGGGTAGAATAATAGGTTGCGCATTCAGATCAAATACTGGATCATATATACTTTTGTTTACCATTCAAATATGTCATTTTGTGATATATTATTATTATGTGTACTTAGAATCCCCCGATTATTTTTTTGTAGGGAGAAGTGTGAATGGTTGGAAATTTCCCTTCCTTTTTACTATGTGTCTGCTTGTGAACTTATATCGTTAAAAAAATCCTGACTATTCGAGAAAGTATATAAATATATTGAAATGCTGAAGATGTTAATTTTAGCTAAAAAACTAATTTTTGTATGGGTGGTGGTCTAAGGTTTTGAGATAGATAGTTGCAATGTATAAGGATTTATATATATTTTTTTTTAATGATGAAGATGATTTAAATACAAAAATTTGGAATGGCTAAACATAACGAACGAATTAAAGAAATATTCAATTTTTTAAATTTGCCAAAAATAAGGATTTTAATTAATAACTAATTACTCTAGCGTAGATGAATTCTGTTTTTTACATTTTTTTTCTCAAATTTTTCTTTAATTCGGTTTGTAATTTCTCATATTTTGCTTTTCATAAAATCTTTTCATAAATTCTTTACTTCTAAGGTATCTTTTAGATATTTCAATTAATATATTCAATTTCGTGTGCACATCCAGAAGGGAGGACTTCATAGGTCCGTTCACAAACTCTTTTGCGGTCATATGCTCAAGTTTAACCATTGACAATAGTTGTTCAGTGATAATTTTATTCGCCCCACTTAGTATTTCTGTATCGTGTGTAGTTTTTATAAATCCTTTTCTTTGAAAAAAATTAATTTTCACGTAATTTTCAACCATTTCAAAAAGTCTACAACTCCTTATATCATTTTGACTAAACTCTATGACCACTAGGAAGGATGATAGATTTAAATTACAAATCGAAGACGGCAAAATATCATATTCAGTATCACTGAATCTAACATATCCTGTAATTATTTCCATAAGCTTGTCGGAAATTGGGTATTTTAGACATTCCGCAAAATCCAATAATTTAACCGAACAGTTATCTTTTATCCTTTGCTCACATTCATCATTTAAAGAACGAATCATATATTTGTCACTTAAATAAGCCAACTGTGCAAGTTCTTTTAAAACCCATGTATTTGGTTCAACACCCGAATATATAAAATTCACAAAGTATTGAAACACATATGGCTGAACATCATTTAAGTGAATTTCACAATTTTCTTCAGATTCTAAATAGTTTCCATTAAACATCGTACTGAAAACATCTGAGCATTGTGACAAGACTTCCTTGTGACATGGTATGCGCTTTATCTCATATTTGGTGATTCCAACGATAAAAGTGCCATCTGCGGGTGTGTTTTCCATAAACTTAAATCGCTCGAACTTCCTGAGGTTTAATAAAACAAACACATTATATTGTACTACACTTTCTAACGAACGAATATTAATATTATCTGCAGCGGTCAATGAAAGTATTCGTCATTAACTAAATTTTTGTGAAATGTTCCAATAACAACAACAAAAAGAAACAAAAAAATAATGCAATTTATAATTATGCAATTTTCCACGATTGTATTTTGTTTATATCTTTTTATTGTTTTTATTGTTTTTACTATAGAAATTTAAAAGTAAAATAACATAAAAGCAATTCTATTGCGAAGCACCAAAATATAAAATAAAAACGGGATTTCCCGGTTTCTGCTTACCAAAATTTCGTTCTATTGCGTAAATGACGAATACTTTTTGAACTTCATATTTTGTTGCTCCGCAATAGAATTTATATTTGTTATTTTATTTTTTT